TTTCTTTTTACTTTCTCTGAAAAATAACTTTTCCCTTCCCAGTTTTCTCGCTCATCCATTCTTCCTCGGGAAATACTTCTGTTGTTCCTCAGTTATTGCTGTACTTGTGTACTTGGCATTGATGCAAGCATCGCCACTCCAGCCCCCAGTGGCAGTGTGTCTAGGGACATGAAGTACTGCAAGAAAGGCAAAAAACCCACAAATGTGGCAACGTTAAATAATACACACATTTACAATTTCTTGTTCGTCATCATAACACAATCACCTGGAGTGAAAAGGCTGGTAATTCTTTCCATATTAAGCAGTAGAGGTGACTCTGCTGCTCCGTTCAGCACAGTGGGATGTATTTTGGTGTATGGATGAAATACAGAGGCTGTTGAAGTCAGAAAAATGGATCAGCTCCCACCTACACATTTGAAAAAGATTTTCTGACTCCTGAACTATCTAAATGAAGAGTGATTGAGGTAACTTGTTTGTTTGTTTTATTCTGCTTAGTAAAGCATGCTCGTTTATGGCAACTTCAGTTACTGGTTTGTTTGTTCCCCCATTGTTGCATTGGGACGGATGCTGTCACAAGATGGGGACTCTGCCAGCCAGCCTGAAATGAAGTAGCCAGGATTGTGACTGCTGTAGCCTGCAGCTGGGATAAAACATGATGGAAAGCTCTGCATCCCCCTCAGGTGGTCATAAGTATTTTAACTGAGATGAAGAACTGCCCACCTAAAGTATGTCAGTGGTCATCTGATGCTGACGGTATTTGCACTGGGGCTGGAGCTGTCTTGTGCCACGTCAAGGCATGAGGATCTTAGGGGGTGAAGCCTATCAGTTTTAGTGGTGTGGGAGGAAACATAAATGGTACATTAAACGGTATCACGAGGTTGGCAATGCGATGTGGGCTCACAGACCTGCTCCGGGGTAGCAGTTTCTAGGACTGTTGGGCATCGCAGCAGGAGAGGGCTTTGTGGTAGGATTTGAGAGGGTACTAATACAGCTTTCTAGGTACTCACAGGAACCCCATTCCTGGTGTGATAATGCTCACACGAAAGCCTGGTGGGACAGTCATGGCTGATGTCCGTGTGGCATGAAGTTCAAATCAGTCTTACAGCTGTGTGGGAGAGTGGTGGAGCTGGGCTGGGTGTGAAGAAACACACAAGTTTTCTGTGAAGTGAAAGGATAGAGAAAGGAGAGAAACCTGCTGTGTAGAGGATGAGTGCATGTATGTGTACCCAGGCTGGAAGCAATGGTCTAAGAAGCTCTTTGAATATGCATGTTACGTGGAAAACAGGATTTGTTATGGACCAGCAGAGAGGTTGTGGTACACAAGGTGAATGATTACAGAGGCATGGAAGGGATTGCCACTCTGAAACCCACAGTTTACCTAAAGCTTTGATGCATGTAAGATGGAATTTACATAGTCATTTTGTACATAGTCTTTCCTTTTTTAAAAAAAAAAAGTTGTGGAAATTCTGTGATTTGTTTTAGGTGCTTCTGGTAGTCTTGGGAGAAGTCATATGTGCAGGTCAAGTATTTTAGCTCTGTGCCTCTTGAAATTCTGTACTGTTGGTGACAAAATTAGCAAGGAGTTGCTTGTCTTTAATTGTCATATTTTTTTGATCTGCTTGAGTTTATGCTGTCTGGCTAGTGGGGAATCTGAACAGCTTCATTGTGATCAGAAGTGTGTTTTTGCATCTTTTGTCACTGCCTCTCCTCCCTGTTTGTGCAGAAACCTCTTAGTTATGTAAATCAGTGTCTTCTCCAGACAGGGTTGGGGAGTGAAAAGGAATCGTCTTGCCTAAGCAAAGACAGTCATTCAGGTCACAAACTGGGATCATCATAAACGCTTTGTGGTCGTGATAGAAGATTCAGGATATCAGCAGGCATGTGGGCTTTGTTTCTGAAACTGTGTGAAATGGTGACACACAGAGAGATGTATTTCTTTCTCATTCTACTATTAGAGGCATAGCATTAATTAGCATAATGATTGCTAAAGGCATATTTTACATTTTCAGTATGGGCTGCTTAGCACCTGCTGTAAAAAGTAAGCTGTTAAAACTGCAACTATTAGTGTGCTGAGGATTTGTTTAGTTGAGGATAAACAGATTTCATTGTTTTAAATTACTGGATAACAATATTTAGCATGGATGTTAAAGTTGCAGATTCACACATCTATATGTATATTTTAACATTCTTCATTTCTCAGTATCTGATACTTATTTTTGGACTACAAGTTTCTTGATGTTTCTGATACACTCTTTTACATTTTAATCACCTATGTGCCTGTGGTTGCAATTTTACAAAACCTTTTTTTTTTTTTTAAAGTGAGTTTCACTAGACAAGTCATGCAGTGATCCTGCCCCTATGTCATCTCCTGGCAGATCAGCGATGTGAATGTGAATCAGTAGATCAGTGGTTCAGCCATTTGGGCTGCAGGGGTGGCTGGGGTGCTGGAGGAGGACTGCAGATGCATCATCCCCATGGGTTATACTACTGTCGAGCAATCAGCTGCATTGCTATGTATATTTCGTTCTTGGATGGAAGTTTTTGTGGAATTTTTTTGTTCTTCTTAAGTTAGCAAAGATAAAACCAAATTGACTTAAAGAACAAAACAGAACAATGCAGTTCATTATGTTTGGCGTTTAAGCCTGGACTCAGGATTTGCACCATGCCTCTGCATGGTTTGCATGGTGTCTACTAAAATAAGAAAAAGGGGTGGAATGGCTAGTTTCTTTTTGCAAAACTTGGTAATTACATATTATGCACTCAGATTACTGTAGTATGCAATCTGTTCATTAACAACAACATCAGTGCAAAGTTCTGCCTCTTGTTTACTAGGTAAAGCTGACTACAGTTTTAATGTAGAGTGGAATTCAAGTTAGATTTTCCCACAATGGATGTAAAGAGAGATGGAACAAATTCCTTGTTACAGAGCAGGCATTTGGCCGTGTTAAAATGAGCATTGATTTTATTCCGTCAACCTTATCAAGTGACCATGTTGGTTTATGTGGTTTTTGATAACTTTCGACTCTGTTGTCTGATTTCCACCAGTGCTGACACGTAAAGAAATCTCAAAGCATTGAATTTCCTAAATACTTGATGGTGGCAGCTGAATGAGAGACACAGATGTGTGTCTTCAGTGCGGGAAGGGCAAATGTAATATAATAGAGCAAACACTTTAGTGCTGTAAATTGTGCCAGCCCACACAGCAGAGTGAGAACAAACCATCTACCTTCCAGCTTTTGCAGGCACAAATGGTCTCTGCTTCCCTCCTCATTTTCCCTGTCCCTTCCAGCTGCAGCCTCAGCCCTTGGTTTAACAAGGTGTAACCATTCCTGGCAGTATCCCCTCAAGACATCACTGTGCCTCTCTTCTTCCCAGCCACAGTGCCCAGGTGTTTGTAGTGGTACCAGTAGTGAGATACCGGTGGCAAGAATCAGATGTGACCACAGCTTCAGGCTGAATCGGGTATCACTTGTTCTGCCAAGTCCTCAGTATCTTGAACATTTACCCAAAGCCATCTGTGCAGTTGTTAACTTTTAAGATATGTACAGTGTAAGTAAAATGTCCGTGGATAATTAGAATTGATACTGACTATGGTAAACGTAAGCTAAGTAAATGACAAACTGTGCTGGGAGATAATTGTAGTATTGGAAATAACAAAAGAAGGTTGACGTTTTGCCCTGTGATTTCTGTAGTCTATTTGTAATAGTTTTGGAGTAGGATCAAAGACACACTTAAAAGTAGGACTTCAATCTTAATTTAATCTGTCAGCAAAAGTATTCAATGTTTACAGATGTTAGATGAGACTAGATTATCACAGAACAATTTCACGTTTGTACTGGACTTTACATTTAATTGTGGTAAAGAATTGGCAGAAAAAGAATGCATTATATTTAAAAAAAATTGCAATGCAGAACGTAGCAAGCTCAACGCTTAGTTGTTAATCCTTCAGAAAAGCTAAGAGCAGATGCACAAAATTCAACAGATTGGCAAGTACAAGACAAATTCCCACATTTTGATTCACTCCAGTGTAAGAATGCAAAGCCAGTTAATGCTCCACTACTTTTTCCTTGCTGTAATAATGGATCTTTTGTTGAAAGTATAAATCCCTGTGTGGTTTTGGGGTTCAGTGCTTCCTGTTGGAGCACTTGTAGCATTATGAGATTGGAGCAATTACCTAGAAAGGTACTTGAGTAGTTTTCAGGGAAAAAAAACCCTGTAATAATAAAAAAACCAAAACCAAACCATAAAACTCATCACCCTTAAAGTATTACTTTTGATTTGGGTAAAAGTGGTGCCTGCTTTCAAACCAAATGCTAGGTAGATTACAGAGTTTGCCTGTCAGGTGCTCATACTCACCTTTAGATCAGTCTTTCCTGATGAAATGAAAGTCCCTGTGGCTAAGAAAATCTGTTTCCCCACAGCCAGATAACCTATATGTAATATCATCTGGACACATCAGTTAATAAGGAATCCACATGTAGGAGAGAGGATTACCATACCCACTCTACCCTTCGCCTGATATGGGGCTACATCTTTCAGTTGATGATGATCCTCTCAGTACTAGGAGGATCTTGGGTCAGGATTTAACCAGTCCAAGCAGACACTCATCAGCTTGGTGCTGAGTTAAAAACTGCATCCTTGGTGTTTTGACTGCTTGAATTGTCTGTGTGGTAACCTGCAGAGTGGATTTGACATTATTTTGGAGTTTTTTAGGAAAAAAAAAAAAAAAAGTAGTGAGATAAGGTAGTTTACATACTTCAGGTAAAATAAAATTCTAGCTCATCACACAAAACCCCAAACCTTGTCAAAGGTGCAATTCTGCAGAGTACATGTCAGCTACAAAAATAGGCACTTAGGAGAAATACTGTATGAAAATTGAGCAAAAACTGTGGACAGCCCGAAGCGAAGCCGGTGCCCAGGCTGCTGCTTTTAAAGGAGATTTAATGCTTTATCTTGTGTTGGTACCTTAAAGCTTAAATATCCCACTCTCTGTTTTCCAGACAGAAGCAGTCTCCGCCAGCCAAGAAACCAGCAAAAATATTTCACAATGGATGTAGACGATGAAGAAAACATGAGTAAGATGTGTTTATTTACACAGTAATAAACTATGTAATAATTTCTGAAGGTGACTTTTTCTCATGAGCACAGGGACGACTGCAGAAATTTCAGATGCACACATTAAAATTTGTATGTTTTAAAATATGGTATAGAAGAGTTAATCAGAGCTTTTGTATTAAAAGTTTATTAAATATATATGGTTATATGCTAGTCTAGTTATACCTTGTGTTTCATATTTTTCTTCCAAACACTGACTAAGCAAACAAAATATTTTCCTGTTTTGAACCAGCAGTGACGAAGAAATAAGAAGAGAATACCGGTAACACCGATGCCAAGAGTTAAGGCCCGGTCAGAAGGGAGGGGTCAGACAAAGGAGATGAAGTGTATAAAACAAATGAGGGAAAGTAAAAATGGAGGAATGAGAAGCAAAAGGAGGAGCTAGAAGAGCTCCCTGAAGGTCTTGCATGGCTTGATTATTCTTACTAGGTGCTGATTGTTCCAACCCTGAGCTACTATTAAAGTGTGTTTAAACACAAAAATAGTCAAATACAGTGATCATCTGGCAAAGCGCTGCGAGGTTGCTGCGGTATAGTTAAGGTCTGATAATCTGTGGAGAAAAGTGTTCTCATTAAAACGTTACAGAAGAATTTTTACTATTCTTGGCCTTTCAACTACGTTTTTTTGTGAATGAGAGAAATGTTCTTTTGCTGCTATGCTGGTGTACCATGCGTGACTGTAAATAACTGTACATAATATAACAACAAATGCACTTATTTTTCCCCTAAGTGACAATGGCTTAATGGTGCATCTCTGGCAAAGCTGACAAAGCCCAGCAGTGTAGGAGGTTTTGGAGCAGAAAAGTCTGAAGGAGTTACAGAACATTTTTATTAGGAGATAAAGAACTTAGATCGTGTTTAAAAACAGACAAACACCACCTCCACCCCCAAAAAAACCCCAAACCTAAAAATATAATCTTCATGCATCTTTTTTCTTTGACTGAAACAGTAAACTCAACTGAAATATGCTTCCTAACACTTTCTTTTCTTTGGTCTAAAAGAAATTACTTCAGATGAATGCTTTAGCTATTTCTAAAAGTGGTCTTCCTGAGGAGGACTTCCAAAAAACTAAGAGCTTTAATTGGATATCTTATTCACATAAGATATTTTTTTGGATGAAACACACCCTTATCTCAATAAGGAGTATGAGTAAAAGGTGTCTTCCTAAGCTGGAGAAAATATCATTCTCTCTACAAGGACATTCTGTAAGTGTCCTTAAGCAAAATACTCAATTTTTATCTGCTTCTGGGGTTTTCTGTTGTGTTAGTGCATCAGTATGGAAAACCATTCACTGAACTTTTTGTCTTGTCAGGAAGCTGGCTCCATGGAGTTATTACAGTCTTGGAGCATGCATTTGTATAGCTGCAGTTGTCTCCCAGAAGTATGTTTTGAGATGTTCTCTGTATGTTTCTGAAAGGAAGCTACAGATAACAGCATCTACTTGGATGAGCACAGTTAATACGAAGTGCAGGAAACCCTTCCTGCGTCTGTATGACACACAACCATCATGAATTTGAAATCTTAGATCATCATATTTGGGGGGGGGTGTGAAATCAAAGTTCAAATTCTTAAGTTCTTCACCTTGATTCATGCCAAGATATTATTTTTTTTTTAACATTTTTTATCTTTATTTTTATATCTCAAGATTGTGAAGTGCAGTATCAGAAGTTGTCTATTAAATTTTTGTTATTTTATGTTACTACTTTTTGGGGCAGTATCTTACAGGAAAAGAAGGTGGGCATATGCAATATATGTAGCTTGCAGTTGTATAACTAGAATTGCTCTGCAGAAGCTAGAATTGAAATTGTATTGGTTCAGATTAAATGTATGACAGTAATGAGGTTACATTAATATCCCTAAGAAAAAAAAGTCTCAGACTTGAGGTTTTAAAGTCTTCCTCCTTTATCCATTGAACATAGAGATTTTACAAGAGATTTGGGGGAAGATACTTTTTGGGTTTTTTTTTAGAACCTCCCTTATGAAAACAGGCTGAGAGAGTTGGGGGTGTTCAGCCCAGAGAAGAGAAGGCTCCGAGGAGACCTTAGAGCGGCCTCCCAGTACTGAAAAGGGCTACAGGAAAGGTGGGGAGGGACTCTTGATCAGGGGGTGTAGGGATAGGACAGGAGGTAAAGGATTTAAACTGACAGAGAGTACATTTAAATTAGAAATAAGGAAGAAATTCTTCCCTGGGAGGGTGGTGAGGCCCTGGCACAGGTTGCCCAGAGAAGCTGTGGCTGCCTCCTCCCTGGAAGGGTTCAAGGCCAGGTTGGATGGGGCTTTGGGCAACCTGGGCTCATGGAAGGTGTCCCTGCCCATGGCAGGGGGTTGGAACTAGGTGATCTTTAAGGTCCCTTCCAACCCAAAACAATCTATGATTCTGTGATGTTTTTATTTGGTTTTCCACTGCTTTACATGGAGGGTATATTTGCAACATTCTCAATACCCCAGAAATCTGTGCCAGAAGCCCATCTGCATATTATCTCAGCATCACATCAAAGAGCCCTGCAGAAGCATCAATTGAACAGAAATAAATAATTTGCTAGGTGTAAATTCATGCTGTGGCCTATCCTTATCGATTACCTTGTGGCCAAGGGAACAGTGGGGCATTTTGCAGAACACTTGGGACACTAGCATATGGCTGTCCTGACCTTTTTCTTTGATGTTTTTCCCCCTTTTTCTAAAATGATGCTCAGAAGAGATCACATGAGATTTTTTTCTGCTTGTTCTTTATGAAAAAAATACTTATTTAGAATTTCCCCAGGCCAGTAAATGAGAGCAGCAATCTAAGGGGTAGCTAGAAACCTCCTTCTGTTCAGGTAAGAGTTGTCTAAATTTAAGTAGTTGTTCTCCAGATCAGACAGAGCAGGGAGAGTGTTGTTTCTCAGAAAGCAGGTAATGGAAGTTTCCCAATGGATAAAGCATCTTAATTAAAGACAGTTTTTAATTGCGGGGAATAAAACCAAAACTAAACCAACACACTTGGACGGAAGATTTCTTTCTTTACTGGCATGAAAATTTCATATGCCTCTTTCCTTCTTTGAGTGCTCTTGGGTTTGTAAGCCTCTCAAAGAAGATTTCAGGGTCAGGACTTTTCTTCTACTGAAGTTGTTGGCATATGATACAGCCAGCTATAATTTTTACCAAGGCATCTTTTGCAGACATGAGTGAGATCTCTATTCAAAGCTGCCAACTATTTTTAGTGACTAGAAAATAAGCTAGTCTTATGAAAAATGTCTTATTCTTAAACCATGGTGATATTAATGTTCAAGAAAACAGTATCCCGTTATCAAGCGGTTATATTTTACAGTGTTGAATACACAGCAGCTGTGATGGACCTCAAAGGGCACTCTAAAGCATTAATGCCTTAAACTTATTTAAAGACTGGAACATGCATGGACTTGAAAGTACATTTAAAATCTAGGATTAAGCTGGTTTTAAACCTCTTGATTTCTGGGTATGTTAGGAGATCCATGAAGACTGTGTAACCTTTCTGAGGCAAGACATATGACGTTAACATATAAAAGTTTAAGGAAAAAAACAAAAATAATAATGAAGAGCATCTTCATTACAATCTGAATGCAGATTTTATTTTTTTTATAATTCAGATGGTAATTTTTTTCTCCTGCCAGATCTCTCCTATGATTTATACTTTCTAATAGTGTTTTAACATTCACAGTTCTCACTTTCCTGCATTATTTTAGCTGTGAGGCTGGCAGCACGAGGCTTAATAATGGTTTCCAAATCAGACCGGTAGACTTTGAAAATATCTAAGCTGGTTTTTAGAACTTGTGTGGAGTGGTAGTCTGTGTCTGCCATGACCTCTACTTTAGAGCAACCAAATTTTGCTGCTTCTGAGTACTTAGCCTGAGCTATGATGGGATCCTGAATCAGTCAGAGCTTTTGGGGAGTGAAGATGCCCTCTCTCATTCTCTTTGTAATGAATGAGAGACTCTCTCAAGTCTTACAGTCTCTAAACCAATGCATTACTAGGATGAAAAAGACTGCAGAACAGAGCAAGAAAAGCAAATATACAGTGCATCCAGCTGTGTGTCCACTGCTGTGAGAAGAGGATGACCTCAGGACAAGGGACAGTTAGAGCCCTACAGTGTAGAAGAGGGAGGACAAGGTTGCAATACTAGGGATCTCTGTAAAATCATGCATAGCACAGGTTGTTTAATATTAGAATCATCAAATTGAAAAAAATAGCAAAATACAATAGATGCATTGAGTGAGACTAGCAGATAGTGGTTCAAATCAAGCAACGGGAGAAGTTTTCATGCAGTATGGTTATCTACATTGCAGATAGCAAGGTGTTATGGGGTCTTGAAAACCAGTCAGAAAAACTTCTAGGGGGGCAAAACCCATCAGTGGCTCCCTGCCACCCTCTCTGGCACAGCCCCGAGCTGCAGCTCCCTTCAGGCTGAGCAGCTGCCCTGGGGAAAGGCTGCTGTGTCTTTGCTCTGGTTTGGGGTCTGCTGGTGGCCCTGTCACAGGTGGGAGCTCGGTGAGGTGAGGATGTAGGGCTGTTCTTAACATCTCTAACCAGGTGAGATGCCTGGAAAAGGGAGAGCTGTTTCTGAAGAGTGGGGAGAGGCTGGGCTGGATGAGTTACTCCATGTCTGAATATGGACAAGATTAAATGGGATGAATTCTCTGACTTTAACAGGTGGTGGTAGCTAATCTTACTTTTTGACTAACCTGTTAACTCTTCTCCGGGCCTAAGGTAATTTAGGGGACCTTACCACTGCTGGGCAGGACAGGCTAAAGAAAAGGACCAAAAGCACATCTTAACCCTCAGCCTGAGAAGAAGTTGCTCTTTCTTGTAGTCCAGTGACTGTGGGTTGAAACAAACCTGAGTTCTTCTGGTTTGCATGGAAAGTCTTTTTCTTTCCATCACGTGCAAGGCTTAGATTTGGATCAACTCCATGATATAGAAGCTTGCCTACTTCCATGGTCTCTGGGTTTGACTCAGGCTGCTAGCTCCCTGCTTGCTTTCTCTCTAGTTTCTTCCACCCTGCAGGTTTTCTAAAGCTAACAAGCCTAGTAGCTCTCAGGCAAAGAGTAGTTTCTTCCCTTCTTTCTTACTGAGACAAGGTAAGCGTGCAAGTTTCTTCCCTGCTTCTTACAAGTCGTTCCTCTCTGTCAGGGCATAGTTTCCCCTACCTGTATCATGAGATGGAATAAGGAGTTCTTCCAGCTGCTGTAATTATATTCAAAAGGGGTTTTTTTACATTTAGCTGGAGGCTGTTTAACTTGTATTTACTTCTGTGGTTTCCACAAGCACTGGTAGTAGTCCACATATAAAAAGAAAGATAAAAGCAGAGGCCATTAATTAGCGTTAACTAAATTATTTCTGTTTATCTTGTAAGTCATACTGGTTGATAGCAAATTCCTGGTGCCACTAGTAAGAGCAATGTTCCAGAAATGGTGTTTTAGATGAGATGTAATTTTTGGAGATTTACAGTTTCAGGTAAGAAACTCTATTCAGGTAATTCATTCTATTGTCCTTAAATTATTGTATAGATATAGATAAAAGGAATATATGTGCATGAACACTGTGTATTGACAGTAGTGGCCCTATGCTACACAATCTGCAGGCAATATAATTTCTGGCTGAACGTTACAAGAGATACTTTATTAAATTTAGCAGATTTCTAGCAATGAAATGCTTCACAGTATTTAGTGTTAAATTGTTGACCGTATTTATTTGACTGGAATTTAATGTTCAGTACTGTACAACTCTTGTTGTGCTATTGTGATTTAACAAGATGTGTTCCTACTTTGGCTTTTTCTTTTGATCTGTTTTTTTTCTTCTTTTTTTCTCTTCGAGCACCGAAAGGAGTAACCTATCGAGCTTTTGCTGGAGGATGTTATAAATGAAAATTTAGTAACCATTCCATCAGCTTTGTAACCTGGGCTAAGTGATGTGTGCATGGTAGGGGATTCTTAGGGAAGACTTAAAGTGTGGCTGCAATTTGTCACTGTGAAAGAGAGATTCCACCATGGTTTTGTCTCATTTCAATTAATGTTTGTCACCTAGTATCAGTGTAGATGTAATATAGATATTTTTAAGTTTTGAAACAGAAGAGTTAGAAATACTTGACCCACTGAATTTGCCTTTGCATTCACAAATGCAATATAAAGCACAAATAATTAATTTCCTTAGTTTCTTTATCAGGGTAAAAATGAGATCTTTGCAGTTATAGCAGATCTAATTCTTTTATTATACCTCTGATATATCATTACCCCAGCTTTCTACTTTAGCAAATAAATCATTAAGCTGATATTATAATGCCTTTTTTCCCCCCATTAAAATATCATCATTATGATTGCGCAGCTTTTATCACAGTTCTTGTATTCTGCATAGTCTTAAGAGAAGATCTTTATCACGATTTTTGGGTTTGTAACTCTGACAGCAGTTTTCTTACTTTGCAAGGAATTACAAAATAGCTTGTAAATGACAAATATAAGGTTTCTTAATAAAGGACTATGTGGAAATATATAAAATAGTCTTGTGGTCATGCTGGTGCAGCAGGCAGCTGTAGTTCCTAAGCAAATTGGGGTGAGGTGAAATGAATGTCTAGGAAAGGCATAAAAAATAATTGAATTTGGAGAATATGGAATAGCTAAAGAGAAATAAAAGCATTCAAACACTCTTCAATCATGGTGCCTACCAAAGAGCTGCCTAATTTTTCATCTGGTTTTATTTATGTAATTTCTCAATTTGAGCAACCAAAATCACTGAGAAAAAAATTAACGTGCCTAAAATAAGAATAAAGTAGAATTAAATATCCATCTCCTAGTGCTGGTCTTAAGCATCCATTTTTATTTTACTAATGGTAGTTCTTTGTTTTATGGGCATATGCTACTCTGACTTATATTTCTGGTTTAAAGCATTTTTCAGGCCAAACGTAACTTACAAGTAAAAGTTTTGTTCCAGCATGATTTAAATGGGAAAAAAAAAGAAGCCACAGTGGTTTTTTGCTATATGATTGTATCAAATGCATAGTTTGAAAATAATTCTTGAATGTGTTATTTCTTGAATTATCAAGAGATTGTGTTGCATTTTTTTATCTCCGATCATATTGCAAAACATTTAACCTGTGAGCACACATCACTTAACCAGCTACAAAGAGAGATAAAGGAATCTATAAATTTTGCATTTACAAGATCCTGCAACGAAGGCATTGTAAGTTACTCTTTCTGGGCACCGCAGGTTCGAGCAGCACTGATGTTAAAGAAAACCGCAACGTGGACAACGTTCCCCCCAAGGACAGCGGTGGGCAAGGTGCCGGGGAGGGGACACAGCTCTCCAATGGTGGTGGCAGCAGCAGCAGAAAGCGTCCTTTGGAGGAGGGCAACAATGGCCACTCCAAATTTCGTCCAAAGAAGAGGAAGAAAACACCCGGCCCTGTTCTGCCAAAGAATGCCCTGATGCAACTCAATGAGATTAAACCCGGTTTACAGTACAAACTCCTCTCCCAGACAGGGCCAGTCCATGCCCCCATGTTCGTGATGGCAGTCGAAGTCAACGGGCAGGTATTTGAGGGGTCTGGCCCGACAAAAAAGAAAGCCAAGCTTCACGCTGCCGAGAAGGCTCTGCGGTCTTTCGTCCAGTTTCCAAATGCCTCGGAAGCCCACCTGGCAATGGGGAGGACTCTGTCAGTCAACACAGACTTCACCTCTGACCAAGCAGACTTCCCCGACACCCTTTTCAATGGGTTTGAAACACCGGTCCCTTCTGATGCTTCCTTTTACCTGGGGTCCAATGGGGATGGGTCCTTTAGCTCTAGTGGGGACTATGGTTTGCCATCGTCAGCCATAGCCAGCAGCCTTTCCCAGTCGCCTCTCCCTGCACCATCACCCTACCCCTCCGCCAGCGGGAAGAACCCCGTCATGATCCTCAACGAGCTGCGGCCAGGGCTGAAATATGAGTTTCTCTCAGAGAGCGGGGAGAGCCATGCCAAAAACTTTGTGATGGCTGTGGCGGTGGACGGTCAGACTTTTGAAGGCTCGGGAAGGAATAAAAAGCTGGCAAAAGCTCGGGCTGCTCAGTCGGCCCTGGCATCTTTGTTTAACATGCAGCTGGACCAGACCCCATCTCGACAGCCCATTCCCAGCGAGGGGCTCCAGTTACACTTGCCACAGGTGAGAAGCCCTTTGGGTTTTGTTGATGGCTGCTCCTGGTCATTACCCAAAGACAAGTAATGCGTACTGAGTCACCTGAACAGTATTTCTGCTGTTTATTCTGCTTCTGTAGATGTGTGTGTGCATATATATGTATATATGTATTAGGTGATTTATCCACTTATGGTTTCTGATGAAACTCTTTGTTTTCTGTTGGACAGAGAGGAGGCTTTGTTGCAGATGCTTTCAGCCTTGATCATGTCACGTAAGAGAGCACCAAGCCCAGTGCAGTGTCAGCTTAGTTTATGGTTTGGGCTGAGGAAAGCTTGGTTCTCATCTTGCTTGTCTTAGGCAGCAAGACTTAGATGGAGTTTGCATCAGAATTACTGCTTTAAGTAAAATTATTATTTGATTCAACAGTTTTTAGCAGAGAAGAAAATCATTCTCTTCTGCAAACTGAAATTGTTGACATTAGCAAAGCTGGATAATGGAAGTCAAGGACAAATTAAGTGAGGCTGATGCAGTCGACACATTTCCAGGGTCTAAATAAAAGACACACAGTGCATGTATCCAAGACGTGTGGTTAAATAGCTGTCATCTGAAGGACTGTGCTCTAATCATATTAGTTAATAAGTATATGTAAGTTGCTTAGGCAAGTAAATCTGGATGAGAGAAAGTTTAAATTGAGTAATTCATAAACTAGGGAAAGTATCAAACATACCAGACGTAGACCAGAAATTTAAAGTAGCTAGAATAGAGTCTTTTTAAATTTTTTTAATGGAGAAAAATTCTCCCTTATTTGCTTCCTTGTGTTTCTCCCCAGTCAAACAACAATAATGATTGTTCAACTGCCCTCTCTCTACTGCATCTCTTGGGGTTTTTTAATGATATTATAAGCCTGTCTAAATTAAAATACTTGCCTGTGACTTTTTTTGCAATTCTCTATCTGTTTATTATGAGAATTTCAAGGCTTTGACCTTTTCTATCTCCAAACCATTGTTTTACATTTTAAAATGATAAGATGCTGGTCTGATTTGATCATGTGGCATTGAAGAGTATACATAGATGTTGCGGCTACTTTAAGTATGTCGTTTTCTCAAAATGCATGGACAATATGTATTGTTTAGAAATCCCTATATGCTTTCTTTTTGAATATTGCACAGTTATTGCGTTATTGATGAATGTTTCCTTCATTTTCAAATCTAGGATCATGTTATTTCAGGTAGTTATGATTCTGTCAGTAGATTCAGTAATTTCAGACTGCATTGTCTGCTATGCTTTCAAAAGTAGATTTGGCCCCAGACACAAAAAAAATTTCATCACTAGTAATTTATGTCTTATTAGTGCTTGAATCAGTAAAATGGTGAAAAATGGAACTGGAATAGGGAAGTGAGAAAGAGCACGAAGTGAGGCGTGAAAGAGGTCAAGTTGTTTGTATGCCCAGCAGTTTCTTTTCTTTAAGGGATGTAGGTGGACTGGCGGGCAGTGCTGTCTTTTTCTGAGCTCCTTGCCTTTTCAGGTTTTGACCGAGTCCCAGGTAGCTGTCCCCAGAGCTTGTGGGATGATCGGGGCATTTGTGCCCTAGGGTACAGTATTAAATGACAAAAAAGGAAACCCGTACAAACATTGTTTTTAATTTTTTCCAGTGGTCTTACGCTGACCTTGATACCCGTATTGTGTGTAACAAAGCATGCCCAGGGCTAGCGTGCTTCTGTGTGGTGAACCTGGTGGGCTTTAGGAGTCATGCCGAATACACTGGATGGGAAGGGGGAGGTTGCTGGTACTGCCTCATGTAGACCTGTTTCAAAGCCAGTTATTTATTCAGAGGCTTTTGATCAGCTTGTCATCAGGACATTGTCATCCCTTCTGCACTTCACTGTGTTGTATTACTCTGCTTTTAATTATAATTAGTTGTCAAGTTATTGGAATTTTGTTAGTGATATATTAGTGATTTTGGTCTGCTATGTATTGATGATTAATAAGAGATTTAAGCATCTGTGATGTTTTCAGGTTCTGCTTTATCTTCTTTTTTTTTTTTTTTTAGTTTGCTCAGGATGTGTAAAGATGTTAAATTAGGAGATAATTGTAAAGTGGGTGCAGTTGCAAACATTGGCAGGTACAGGTATGACGTAAATGAGGATAGGATTTGTTATAACCCGTAGACCAAATAAAATGCTGATTGGGTTAGAAAAGATGGAAGCTAGAAACTTGCAAGGGGAGGAAAAATCGAAATACCAAATGCTTTGTGGAAATAATAAAAGTACAGTGTTGTTGTGCCGATGAAGGTGTTGAAATCGACTGCCTGGGTGGCAGGTTCAAAGCCTGCCTGTGGTTAGTGTGTTAATTTGTGGCGCCTCATGAGAAAAACTAATAGAGCAGAAAGCATCAAGAGGAGAGGTGATCCCTGCTCCAGTGGTGGTCATGAGTATCAGCTGAAATGCATGTGTGGGATCACTCTTGAGAAAATTAAATGCAGAAACACATATGAAAGCTATCAAATGGTACAGAAGTGCAGTTGACATCAGAAATAAGCTTATAAAATGGGCATGGGTATAATCTTATGGTCTGTAGAGTGGGTTATCAAGGTATTGAACCCATGGTTTAATAGATTTAAAACCAGTCTCTGCAAAGCGAACTTACCTGCTTGCTTACAGATTGACTTTCTGTGAGGGATGACACTGTTGTCTGTGGTGAGTAAAATATTTTTGCTGGGAAAGTGAGTTAAAGCCAGTAAGTCACTCAACATGTGCCTCAGAGCAGATGAAAATGCCTCACTGAAAAAAGCAGCCCTCGTGCATTTGTCACCTTGGCAGCAAGTGTCTTAAAATGGAAGAGGTTGCAGTCTTGTGTTATAGGGACTCGCCTCTCTAAAACAAATAAAATGTTTTTACAGTTAGCTATGCTTTGTAAATTGATAGCCATCCTCACTTTACCTCCCATCCCTTGATGCAAAGAGGTGTCCTGTATTCTGCAGTAAGCCACAGGACGTACCAAGGGCTCTAAAATGTGCATCCTTCAAGTTTTATTCTTTTCCATGGAAGAAACCTGCATGTTTCAGCATACTTAGATTAATATCATTAAAAACTTTAAGTGCATGGCTTTGTCATAGGTCTGCTGAGTTGGTGGGTGACAAGAACTGGAGAAGACAGCAAGATGGGAAGTCTTTTTAAATCACTTCTGAAAACAAAGGGGTCACATGTTTATAGACGAAGAGTGGAAGTCAATTTGACTTCATGGAAATAGTGCAAGGTCCAAATCTGATTTCTGGGGCAAAGAGTATTGTTGAGCACTCAACCACAGCAAGAGCCACACTGGACTGGGCAAAAGCTCCTTCTCACACATCATCCCGTCCCTGGTACCAGGTCCCTGCCGGCAGCCCCAGCACTGGGAAGTGGGAGGTTTGCAGGGATGCTGGTGCTGGCTGGGCCATCTCCACCCACAGAGCCGGTCCTGCCGCCGCACATTGCCATGGACACCTTGGGAGGTGGGACGAGGATGTCCATGAACAGCTCAGGAGCAGCAGATACTGCTGGGAAGTTGGACTTCAATATTTCTTAATTTTTGATATCCTTATTACCCAGAGATAAGTCTCCTAGAGATCACTTGTTTTCTTTCCTTTTGTTCTTTTCCCTTAGACACTCCCTGCTTCCCAGGGAAGGCTGTGAGGGGTCTCACCTCTGTCAAAGGCAGGATGGTGCTGTCCCTACTCAGGCTAGTACCAAATGCCTTGGAAAAAAATGACAAAAGGCATATTGGTAGCAGTACTTCCTCAGTATATGCTTCTAACCTTAAGCAGTTTCTGTCTCAGGAATTTTCTCAGCCAGAAATAGTGTATTTCCATCTGAGAGTCTTTGATGGATTATTTTTCACCTGCTGAATTTCAACCATTTCTTGAACTTCTGTAATCTTGTTGCTTCCACAGCACCTTGTGGCAATGTTTCACTGTTTAAGCACATATTGTACGAAGAAGAGTTTCATCTTTGTTTTGAAAAAAAACTTGGTGTGTCCTGGTAAAATGATCCATGTCCCAATAAAACACTCTTTGTCAGCAGAAAAGAAGGGATCAGTAAAGTCTGCTGGTCCAGGCCACTGACATTGCTGATGGAAGCAGTTTCCATCAGATGGTAGGAACCTGCTAGTGGGGGTATCCTCTTTAGGCCACTGATGGCCTTTGTTAGGAAAAGCTCCATATAAGCTTAATCATGATATTTCCCAGATTTCCTCAAATTGTTTACTCAAAAAGATAGCTGATTAATCAGGGTGCAAAGAGGTGGAAATTAGAGAATTGAAATTGTAGATACTGAAGGTTAAATATAGTTATTTAGATTAATAAAAGCTGGACTACTGTTAGAGAAAGCAACTTCAGCTACACAAATAAGCAGTGTAGCTGCAGATTAAATGAATTTTTAAAAATCCACTAGAGGGAATACTTTTAATCATTCACCTAATTGTGTTTCAAATTCAGTTTATCCTGTGTATCACTGTGGACTGACATTGAAACAAAATGTTAAGCAGAAGAAATGGGGTGAGAACCAGTACTGCAATGGCTACTTTTACTTAAAGTGCTGTGTTAATCCTGGTTCAACCTGGGGTGGAGGGAGCTATAAAGAAGTATTCAAATATAGAAAAGATATACAAATTAGTGATAAAAATGGTTGGAGATCTGGGAAAGCTGCTTCTGCAGAGCTACTGTAGAGCTTTAGGCAGTTTATTTTAATAGACTGCTTATTGTTATGCAGAAGAATGAGAATGTAACAGATTCAAACTGAGAAAAAAGATGATACTAAATACATTTATGGGAATTAATGAATTACATACTGGAATAATTGCTGTGGAATTGGAAGAAATGTTAAAGATACAACTGCATAAGCAGTGAGACTCTGCTGCCAGGCAGGAGTTTCTTTAAATAAATACAGGAAATTTTGGAGCACTAGGAAATAATTATGCTATTTTATTAGTGTAGATATGTTTCCACCTTCTCTGAATGTTTGTGCTGCTCACTGTCAGCGAAGAGATAATGAATCTGATTGACCTTGATTTTAGCTGCTCTGGGTAGTGCCACTGCTCATCAACTTGTGAAAGTTCACATAAACCCTAAACTGTGAAGGTAAGAAGAAATAAAGCTGAAGGAGAACATATATGCTTAAGAAGGATCACTGGAGATCCAAGGAGAGCATAAAAGATTGTGAGGTCTTGGGTCAGTTCCCCAGTGCTGGGTGCTGTCAGTCCCTGCAGTGCCCCTGCTCCCGCTGCCTTTGGTTCCACCATGTAGATGATCACCAATATTCATCTGGGGTGGTCTCTATGGCCTGCTAAGGTCTTCCTGCAGATCCAGACAGACCTGAACTTCATTAGTTTCAGACTATTTTATAGCATGGGTGGTCAGGCGGGTTCTGCTACAACATTGCTGCAAGATACATGTTAACAAAATCAGTCTGTATGCGTAGAAAAAAAGTGGGTTCGCTGTAACTCCATCACAGAGAAAGGAACAATGCAACGAAAACAGCTTTGAGCTCACATGCGTTAATGAGCAAACTGTCAGCTATTTTAGGTCTTTCTGTTTTTGAATTGCCTAACTTTGAATAATGATTTAATGTAGGAGCGGGGGTAGAGAAATTGTGTATCACGTGTTAGGGCACTCACTGGGAAGGTGATGCATGAGTTCAGTTCTTATTCCAATTAATATTTATTTATATGAAAGGGAGTAAAGTCAGAACGAGAAGTGAAAGATCCCTGCCCAGGCTGGTCAGTGGCCTGGGCTTGATGTGAAGACAGCTTCAGGTCCTTGGTTTTCTGTGGGAGACAGCAAGGACATCATTTTAGGCCAGTTACTGGCTTGTTTCTGGCACTGCAGTGGTGTGTTCATAGCCTGCCTTATTCCCATCCCTTCCATGTTCTTAGTGATTCTTAACTATGTTCATTAGTCTAGAATGTAAATTAGTCTAATTTATCAGGTGAGTATTCTTATAAAAGGCCAAAGCCTTTGTAACTAAATCAGTAGACATTTAATAGTGTTTTTTCTCACCACCCACCTATTGTCACTCAACTCGAGTATCAAGTTAAAAAAAAAAAAAATCTTTAGTATATCTGCCTGTTTTCTGGCAGTGATTTTTACTCCCCCCCCCCACCTTTTTTTTCCTGTATTGTTTGCATCTCTAGCAGTCATTTTGTCTTGCCTGAGTTCTACTTAGTCCTTCTTATCAGCCCTCCCCAGGGTCTGACTTTCTGTTCATTCAAGCGTTTTTAGGTTTCCTTGCCAGCAGCTTAGTTCCACACTAAGATGCAGCCCCCTCCCATCCTTCTGTGCCAGCTTACATCGTCCCAGAGGGACTCACCGTGTTCTCACTTGTATACCAACACCACAGTTTCTTCTGCTTTTCTTATTATGTGAAAAAAAAAATCTTTTGGGAAGAAGCTAATGTGTCTACCCTGTATGCAATATCTTACCCAGTTGTTGGTCAGGTAGCCTTTTTGTCAGCAGTATTGGAAGGTAAGTTAGCCATGGCTTTCTTCCCAGAAATGCCTGGCAGTTTATGTTCCCACCTCATGATGGTAACCTCCTCAAGCCCAGGGAATGGGCAATTGTATGCCTCGCTAGATCCGTTTGTCCGGGTAGGTTGAGGATCTATGTAGTGAGTAATCCCTGTTTGGTGATCACGAAGCAGCATTCCTATATGTTCACCCTTGGCAAATGGTCAGTTTTGGTTCAGCATTTTGGAATCATCATTTCTGGTATGTGCTGAACTTTGTGTCTTTGAGTAGCTCAGTGTTGGAGAAGACTTCTCCAGTTACCAGTCAGCACACTCTTTTTTTTTTTTTTTCCGAGGAGTGACCCATATTGTTTATTACCTGCATGGCAAGCCTTTCTGGCAAGCTTTGAAGCCTGTCTGAAGCATGTATTCCCTTTGTGGATCAGGTCCATCCCTATTTGGAAGCTTGTTTCCCTAGTATATTCCATCATAATGTCATTCATTCAGCACAATTCTACATTGCATGGTAGCTTGTCAGCTGCCAGCCATGATCTCCTGTCCAGCACATCATGATGTAAGGTAGAGCAGAACTGTACATATATGACAGAAATGAGAGCATAAAACTTGCAATTGGGAAGCAGTATTCAGAATTATTTAATGTGGCCATAGATAAAACATTGGAATGGGGACTCTGTTTCTTGTCTGTACAGTGATCTGCCCACGTGGCTGCAGGGAGGTTAATCATTTAAGCCTTTTGTGTATTAATTTTCAATTTCTAAAACCAGGGTAATAATAAAACTGTCACTCATTATTTTTCTTTTGCATATTTACCTTAAAGTTCAGCTTTCTGCATTAGCTAAGTACTAGCACAATTAAATGTAGACTTTGTGCTGCGTGGTCATGGTGCTGTCACAGCACAGATTGTAACACAATTTTGGGTCCAGCAGCAAAAAGACTTTGAAAATGTTTGTAGCCTCTGAGCAAAATTGCATTCCTGACAAAATTTGTCAATCTCTTGATAAGAGTTTCTGAGCTGTAGTCCACTCAATTGCATCCAGAAAATTTGCATTTGCAGTGTTGAGAGTCTTCTGACTCTGCAAGTTGTGCAATTGCAAAACATGGGCAAACGCTTGGTGCAGATGTGACCTCAGTCACCAGTGACTGCTGGTCGCTGTTTCCAGTCAGATTCTGGAAAAAGCTTTCGAGCTCTGAAATTGTGACATGGGAGCTTTGATTGTTGCTTCCTTGGCTACTAAAGCTTTTCCAGAAGGAAGGTAACATAACATTGAGAGCTTCTCCACACGTTTTTCTAGCCTGTTGTTTCTCAAGGGCATTGTTAAGAAAATGGTGTTGAAACAGGCTGGCAGTTTTCAAATGCCCTTTTTCTTTTCTTTCTTTTTTTTTTTTTTGATGCTGGCAGTCTGTTTTTAGAACTGTTTGTGTTCAAGAGTTTGTGCCATTTCAAGTGAGTGTCCCCATGCTCTGTATACGGCTGCCCATCAGCCCTCTTGATTTTCCTTGGGCCCTCTGGAGGGGTGAGGGTGGTAATCTTAAATTGCTGAGAGCCCAAAGACAGTTTGTAAGCAGAAGACTCTCAGCCACAGGCATCATTTTGTGCTGGATGTAGTTGCTTACATGTGTGTTTAGTACCACTTTGGATGCTCTTAGGTATCTAAGACATCTGCATGGCACTGGCAGGTGTGACACAGGGCCTGTGTCCTTCTGGTGTGTCAACCTGTGGGCTAAGTGGTTACCCCAGAACATCTCAGATACTGCTGGGTACCAACACACAGACAACCAGATCAAGCTCTCTATGCCTGGCGCTCCAAGATAGGGACCTCAGCTCACTCCCTGGCTATCCACTCTTCCTCTCCAGCTGCTGGTCCCAGTGCTGGTGGAAGATGGGTGGGTAACAGTTTTAAACTGGAAGAGGGCATATTTAGATTTAGATAAGAAAGAAATTCTTCCCTGTGAGGGTGGTGAGACACTGGCACAGGTTGCCCAGAGAAGCTGTGGCTGGCCCCTCCCTGGAAGGGTTCAAGGCCAGGTTGGACGGGGCTTTGAGCAACCTGGGCTAGTGGAAGGTGTCCCTGCCCATGGCAGGGGGTTGGAACTAGGTGATCTTTAAGGTCTCTTCCAACCCAAACCATTCCATTATTCGAAGTTAGGCCCTCTTACAGCCTGAATGACATTGCTTGCTAACCCTGCTGACAAGATACAAGGCTGTGATTGTTATTGTTCAGGTTTTCCTGAAGGTGAAAAAGATGAATCCTTCCTAATTTTGAGATAGCTTCTTCTGAGTTATGCATTGACATTTTCTCTGCCTAAATTTGTATGTCTTGTAAAAATAAGAAATAGAAAGTGTTTAACCAGTGCTGAAAACAGATTTCTTCTTATTTATGTAATAGCTAGATAATGAATTCGACTGTTATAAAAGGTTTACACGTTGGCTTGGTGAGCCTGGTTTTTGCACTTCAATCTTCTTGTCAGCTCTAGTGTTGAAGTTACTGAGATGATTTGTTTTGAGGTTTGAGCATGAAAGTATAGACTTATCTGTCTATCCAGTTGTTCTCCTAAGCCTCAAATGTTCATAACAATCATGAGCACTAGGTACTTTGATGCTTGGCTTATGGCTGTCTGACTCTGTTTTAATAGACGTGGAGCACACAGAGCTCTGCTTCCACTTACAAGAGCCATGAGTGCTCAATATGCCTGAAAATTGTACCCAGCCACCTCCTTGACATACTGCTGATGCCCCAATGTCTGTTTTTAAAGTGGGCAGTAACAACATTTAATGTATTGTGTCAAATCATTTAAAAGGGAAAATCTTTATAACACAATGCTGATGTAATTTCTAAATGATTTGTTTAACTTTCTAATGTGTATTTCTGTACAATCCTACAGGTTTTAGCTGATGCTGTTGCACGCTTGGTTGTAGATAAATTCAGTGATTTGACAGAAAATTTCACTTCTCCACATGCACGTAGAAAAGTCCTTGCTGGAATTGTCATGACAACAGGTAAAGAAAGAAAAAAAGGGTCTGTTTTAACTGCTTAAATATGAGAGCTCTGTTTGCCTTCTAGGAAACTATCTTTTTTCAATCAACCAGTACGGAAACGTATTTTTACTGTTTAATCTTTAAAGTGCACTAAATATAGCAACTAAATTTTGGCTAAAGATAATTACAGGAAAATTAGACCTGCAAATACTTCTGTTTCTGCAGAGTTCCTGTCTTCTGCCTGATTGAGACATCCAGGATAACTCATGGTCTACAAAATACACATACCTTGTAAAATTAATTGTGCAACTTTTGGAAAGTAAATCTAAAAAAAATGTCACCACATTGGTCACACAGATGGCATTCTTGGGTTTTGGCATATTATATAAGAAATTATGCTTGCTTTCCAAGCTTTTAAGGTTTTGCACTTTGTTAGAGTTATTCTTGCTATATTTTATTCTTAGTGCTTTGTGTCTCAGTCATTTTAGTAAAAATATGTGAAGAAAGCAGCCTATGTTTTGGCAGCTGACACTTGTGTGCATGTACAAGCAGCAGCAATGTCGTGGTTCTCTGCTGACAAGAGATCCATGCTCTGTCAGATCACCCAGAACAGTGAAGTTCTGCCCTAAGCTGATCTGTGACCAAGCTGCTACTGTATCTTCCTCACGCTAAGATTTATCTTGGTCTTCCATCCATCTGAACCCTTGCTGGGACATTCATATTGGGCCTGTCATGAAATGTCCTCAGTTAGTTGTAGGAGTTGGATGGATATTTGTGATAAATGTACAGCCCTCCCTTGGTGATTTGGGCAGTGCCAGACCTTTCCTCCTACGGGGTTGTTTGTAGGGAGTCTCCTCCACAGAGCAGAGAGGTCTGAGGGTGCTGGTTAAAGTAGGTATCTGCATGCTCTAGGGACAAGGGAATGTGATAGAGGGACAGCGTGGCCCAAACACTGTCACAAGACATCTGTGGTGGGCTGACCCTGGCCAGCAGTCAAACACCCACTCAGACTCTTGCTTGTTGCCCTCTCCTGGGGCATGGGGAGAAAATGGAAGGAGGACAAGAAGATTTGTGGGTAGAAAAAATGGGGCCTGAGGTTTGAGATAATGACAGATAGAGTCATAATTTCTATTGCTTGGCTCCTTAAGATTTTATCACCTCATTTGCCGTAGGTATTCCCCATGCTGTTGCTCACTGTCCATGAAAGTTGGGTTAAGATTTTGGTTTTGCTGTACTATGTAATGCTGATCCATGACAGATGCAGCTGTTTCTCTACTCGAGAGAACCGGTACACACCATGGGGGAAGCTGTGACATTGCCTGTGTGATCATGGAGAAGACATGAAGAAATGGATGGAAAACCTACCTGCCTCCTAGAAGAGCTGGTGCATGATTTGAATGGAAGAACAGCTTCAAAAGAAATGCTGCTCCAGTTTCCAGAAATCCCAAATGGAGCAGAAAGGTCGACTTTGCTCATGATCCTATGAGAAGAACTCTGTATTCACAAGAACTGAGTGATCAAGATGAGGCTGAAACCCATTCACAGCACACCAATTCATTTGTTGTTAGTATCATGACCAAAATTAGGGGGACCCTGCCTCTGGCCGGGCAGAGGACAGGGACAACGATGTTTACTGGCCCATGTGGATTCGATGTCCTGGCATGTGTGACCCCCAGCAGTATAAGGCTGTAGTGGACACTGGTGCTTAATGTAGTCAAATTTTAAAGGGGCAGAACCCATTTGTATTTCAGGAGTGATTGGGGGCTCTCAATAGTTGACTGTATTGGAAGTCGAGGTGAGTCTAAGTGGAAAAGAGTGGGAAAAATAACCCATTGTGATTGGCCCAGAAGCTCCATGTATTCTTGGTATAGATTATCTCAGGAGGGAGTATTTTAAGAACCCAAAAGGGTGTTGGTGGGCTTTCGTTATAGCTGCCTTGGAAACAGAAGAAATTAAACAGCTGTCTGTGTTACCTGGTCTCTCAGAGGATCCTTTTGTTGTGGAATTGCTGAGGGTTGAAAAACAACTGCCACTACAACCATGCACCGACAGCAATATTGCACCAGTCAAGATGCTGTAATCCCTATCCATAAACTGATTCGTCAGCTAGAGAGCCAAGGAGTCATCAGCAGGATGCGCTCCCCTTTTAACAGCCCCATATGGCCAGTGCCAACGTCTAATGGAGAGTGGAGATTGACAGTGGACTATCATGGCCTGAATGAAGCTACGCCACCACTGAGTGCTGCTGTTGCCAGACATGCTTGAACTTCGGTATGAACTAGAGTTGAAGGCAGCCAAGTGATATGCCACAATTGATATTGCTAATGCATTTTTCTTCATCCCCTCTGGCAGTAGAGTACAGGCCGCAGTTTGCTTTTACCTGGAGGGATATCCAATACACCTGGAATTGACTGCCTTGGGGGATGAAAACACAGCCCCACCATTTGCCATGGACTGATCCAGACTGCGCTGGAACAGGGGGAAGCCCTGGAACACTTACAGTACATTGATGACATCATTGTGTTGGGTGATACAGCAGAAGAAGTTTTTGGGAAAGGGGAAAAAATAATCCAAATCCTTCTGAGAGCCGGTTTTGCCATAAAGCACGGTAAGGTCAAGGGACCTGCACAAGAGATACAGTTTTTAGGAGTAAAACGGCAAGATGGACATCATCAGATTCCACCCATAATGGAGGTGATTAATAAAATAACAGCTATGTTCCCACCGACTAACAGAAAGGAGACACAATCTTTCTTGGGTGTTGTGGGTTTCTGGAGACTGCAAATTCCAAATTACAGTCAGATTGTCAGCCCTCTCTATCAAATGTCCCAGAAAAAGAATGATTTTGTATGGGGCCTGGAGCAGCGACAGGCTTTTGAACAAATTAAAGAGAAAACAGTTCATGCAGTAGACCTCGGGCCAGTTCGGACAGGGCAAGATAATAATAATGTGCTCTACACTGCAGCCAGGAAGAATGGCCCTGCCTGGTGTGTCTGGCAGAGAGCACTGGGGGAAGCTCAGGGTCGACCCCTGGGGTTTTGGGGTTGGGGATACAGAGGATCTGAGGCCCCCGCTACAACAGCCATAAAGGAGATATTGGCAGCGTATGAAAGGGTCCGAGCTGCTTCAGAGGTGATCAGGACTGAAGCACAGCTCCTCCTGGATCTCCAACCACCAGTGCTGGGCTGGACGTTCAAAGGGTGTCCCCTCTACACACCGTACATCTGATGCCATGTGGAGTAAATGGGTCGCATTAATCACACAATGGGCTCCAACAGGGAGCCCCAGCCATCCAGGAATATTGGAAGTGATCACAAATTGGCCAGGAGGCAAAGATTTTGGAATGATGCCAGAGGAAGAGGTAACACGTACTGAAGAGGCCCCACCATATAAATAAACTACTGGATAAGGACAAGCGATGTGCCATTTACTGAGGGGTCCTGTCGCATTGTGGGAAAACACTGAAGGTGGAAAGCAGCTGTGTGGAGCCCCACATGACGGGCCGCTGAAGCTGCTGAAGGAGAAGGTGAATCAGTTCATGGAGGTGAAAGCTGTCCAGCTGGCCTTGGATATCGCTGAGTGAGAAAAGTGGCCGGTGCTCTACCTCTGCACTGACTCATGGGTGGTGGCAAATGCCCTGTGGGGGTGGTTACAGCAGTGGAAATGGAACCACTGGCAGCACAGAGGCAAACCTGTCTGATGGCAAGACATTGCTGCTCAGGTAGAGAATCTATTGTGAAAGTACGTCATGTAGATGCTCACATACCCAAGAGCTGGGCCACTGAAGAACATCAGAACAACCAACAGGCCGATCAAGCTGCTAAGATTAAGGTGTCTCAAGTAGATCTTGACTGGGAACATAAAGGTGAACAATTTATGGCTTACTGGGCCCATGACTCCTCAGGCCGTCAGGGAAGAGATGAAACATATAGATGGGCTCGTGACTGAGGGTGGATGCTATTGCACAGGTAATCCATGAATGTGAGACCTGCGCTACAATCAAGCAAACCAAATGTTAAAGCCCATTTGGTATGGAGGATGATGGTTAAAATATAAATACGGGGAGGCCTGGCAGACTGATTATATCATGCTCTCACAAACTCGGCACAGCAAATGCTGTGTGCTTACAATGCTTACAATGGTGGAAGCAGCCACCGGTTGGTTGGAAACTTATGCTGTGTCCCATGCCACTGCCCAGAACAACATTTTAGGCCTTGAGGAGAAAGTCTTATGGCGGCATGGCACACCAGAAGGGATTGAGTCAGATAATGGGACACACTTCTGAAACAAGCTCATAGATGTCTGGGCCAAAGAACATGGCATTGAGTGGGTATATCACATTCCCTACCGTGCACCAGCCTCTGGGAAAATTGAGTGATACAGTGGATTGCTAAAAACTACACTGAGAGCAATGGGTGGTGGAACTTTCAAACACTGGGATGTGCATTTAGCAAAAGCCACCTGGTTAGTTAATCCCAGAGGATCTGCCAAGCAAGCTGGCCCTGCTCAGTCAAACCTCCTACATACTGTAGATGGGGATAAATCCCCCGTAGCGCACATTAGGAATATGCAAGGGAAGACCATCTGGGTTACTCCTTCATTGGGTAAAGTTAAACCCATGTGTGGGTTTTTTTTGCCCAAGGACCTGGGTGCACTTGGTGGGTAATACAGAAGGATGGAGAAGTCTGATGCGTGCCTCGAGATTTGATTTTAGGTGAAAATAGCCAATGAATCAAACTGTCAAATAACCTTGTTATTGCAATTTATGCCTTGCAACATCCTCCTGCCACATCCAAAGCCGCCTGCTCCACGAACTGAACCAACTCTACCTCATTCCTCCAGCCTTATAGACTGTCATGACAGATGGAACCCAAAGTTATGGACTAAATGAACTCAGTAGACATTTTGGAAGCATGGCCCATAGACTGAGGGAATGATATCTGTGAGACCTGGGAAAAAGGAGTGGTGATTCCTTAGGATGTATTTGGAACCTGAGTATGATGTCAATGATATGGAATAAGAGGTGGACACTGTCCTGAGTTTGGCCAGGATAGAGTTAACTTTCCTTGGGCTGGGAGGGAGCACAGCTGGAGGGCTGGGCCCACATGGGTCATTGGAGCATTCCATATCATGGGACATCATGCTCAATGTGTAAGAGGACATGTGCTCTCCCATTTCCATTTCCCAGTGGGCACAGCGGGATTTCTGGTGCAGTCGGGATCGCTGCCGGGGGTGGGCTGTGTACTAGTTGATGGCCAGTGAGTAACTGCATTGTATATTACCCGTTTGGATTTACTATTGTTACTGTTGGTTTGCTACTATTACTCTTTTTTCTCTTTTTTTTTTTTTCTATTTTTTTTTTTATTCAACCTATGAATTTGTTTTTTTGTCCCTTTCCTCTTTCACCGGGGAGGTGAGGGGGAAAGTAAACGACTGGCCACATGGTGACTGACTACTGGCTGAGTTCAAACCACAAGAAGCCCCAAATGCAAAGCACTGTAAGAAACATGCTCTAGTTTTATTTAATATGCTTTGTGATATTTAACAAGTTTTTATCATAATTACAGTCCTGTGTCCACAATTCCCAGAAGAGCCATGTGACCAAGGAATTAAGACTTAACTAACATGTGAATACATTTTGATTACAGAAGAAATAGCTTTGTACAGAATTAGAAACCATCTTTGCTAGGATATGTATCTGGGGAACCCCTTGAATTAGATGACCTCATTGTACAGCCTTGTGATGTAGAGTGAAGTGGCTCCCTGCTTCTCCTCCACAGTCTTCTCCAGCCCTGTGGGCAGGAGGGCACAGCCTGAGCTAAGGTTCATTTTTTTTAAGGCTATGTATTTCATCAGGAGCGAGAGCTCAAACAGTCCATGTCTCACATTTTAAATTACGCAGTTCCATTGCTGATTACTAGTTTGACTGTTTGTATCCGCACTGCCATTGTGCAGCCAGATGGTTATGGGAGTTACCCATACCCTGGAGTTACCTCAGCTCTACGTACTTGGGGTGTGCTGAAAGTTGTGGCTCTGCTTTTCCATACCACAGTAACTATTCTGTGGGAGGAAGGCAGCAGAAGGTGTTTGGAAGGGTTTGGCCACTATCTGCCTCTGCTGGTGAGGCCTCGAGAGCTTCAGAGAAATTAGTGTTTTGTTGGGGCTTTTTTTGCTGAATGTTTTGCTAGAGGGATGTAACATTTTGACCTGTCTTTCTGAATTCCTGCAGAATTTTTTTTGTTTGTGTGTGTGTCTGATAGAGTTCTGTCTAGAAAACACCCAAAATACTTTTTAAAATTCTGTTGTACAGAATGATTTAATGCCAAGAACTACACTTCTAGAAGCATTATATTGCTGATAAGCTTTACAGTAGCTTAAGCATTTAAATTTCTTGATTCCCTAGTCTTACCTTTTCTGTTGTTGGCTTAATGCTCTTCTGTAATGTGTTGCTGTTTCAATAAATGAGTGCTTTTCAGATTTCTAAAGTTGCTGTAAATATCTGCATTAGGTGGCCAGAAGGTACATGCTAGAAGCTAGCTGGCTGCCTGGAGCTCAGGAAAAAAGCACCCTCTTTGGAGCACGGGCTTTAATAACTCTTCCTGAAGCAGCAATTTTTCCCTGCAGGTTTTCAATTTCCAACTTGTATGAACTCCAACATGAAGAACTCATGAGAACCACAGGCTGTACTGGTACAGGGAGGGTATGGCTGAGTGAAGCTTTTGCTTTAAAGAATGTATCAGAAGAAAAGACTTTTTTTTTTTTTTTTTTTAAATAAGCAAACAAAAAAAATGCATCTTCTTCCTGAAATTTTGTTTTGCAGGTACAGATGTGAAAGATGCCCTGGTAATAAGTGTTTCTACAGGGACAAAATGCATCAATGGTGAATACATGAGTGATCGTGGTCTTGCATTAAATGATTGCCATGCGGAAATTATATCTCGCAGGTGCCTGCTTAAATTCCTGTATACACAGCTTGAGCTTTATCTAAGGTAAGCTGGAGGCAAACGGAAGATGGGCTGCTCACATGGAGCTGAAAAGGTGTTTGTCTAAAACATTTCAATGTGAATTATTATTTCAATGTGAAACGCTTGTCCTGTTGCATTAGGATGTTTAATTTAGAACTCAGGCCCTTTTCCCTAAAGTTTGACTTTAACAAAACATGTGTTCAGTTAGGTGTCAGTCATGAGAGGGGAGGACAGAAGAAAATAATTGGGAATCATTTTGTGAACTGTAAACATGTAAATCAAAATAATCTCAAGGGGGCTAAAGGGTAGTGATGTTTCGTTTGCTGGTAAGTGCCTGACAGCTCTTGACATCTGGGGATGTCAAGGGCACTCTATTTCTTGTCTTGATGGTCTTTTATCATCTTGTCTTAATGGTTCATTGTAGTAGATTTATGCTATAAAATTTCCAAACATTCTGTGTGTATTTTTAATGCCTATTAAGACTGCCCAGCTTATGGTTAGTTATGTGTTAATGTCAGTTTTGACTCTAGCTTTATTCTCTGTTTCAGCAATAAAGAAGATCAACAAAAATCCATTTTTATCAAGTCAGAACGAGGCGGGTTTAAGCTGAAGGAGAACGTGCAGTTTCATCTCTATATCAGCACGTCTCCTTGTGGCGACGCTAGGATTTTCTCACCACATGAAGCAGCACAAGAGGGTATGACAGCAGTCCTACTCTAGCAAGGGAGTTTAAAATATTCTTTGAACGTGTACAAGTGGCACAGATAAAATTTAGGTGTCTTCTTTCCTTTTAGTGTAGATGTGTGTTAGACAAAGATCTCTTCAAAAAAAATTCTGAGCTGTTCTTCCTGTGTGGTAGAAGTTAAGTATAGACTGATCCAGCATGTGGTCTTGAAGAGGCTGAATGCTAGCCGAGATAAGCCAGTGAGTCAGCAAGTATTTGTACAGAACTAACCAAACTGCTTCCCTGTTCCCATCTTTTAATGGTGGTTGTCTGCCTGCCCCTTTCTTGATCTGTCTGTTAACTTCATTCTAACGCTGTAACACGCAGAACAGAATTGAAGAGCTACTTGCTGTGTACTGCTCCTTCATGGAAAGCTTGGTTTAATTGCAAGTGTGTTTTAGAAGACTGTATTTGTGAGAGATGGCTGATGCTGTAGCTAATTTGCAAGGAGCAATAGAAATTGTTATGCAAGTCAGCAGTTACGCAGGCAAATACTGTTATTCAACTCTTCTCCTTGTAATGCTATCTGTAAAATACACAGAGAATGTTTCTCAGCTGACTGTAAGTGATTTTTGTCATTTAGATCAAGGGGACAGGCATCCAAACCGCAAAGCGAGAGGACAGCTACGGACAAAAATAGAATCTGGGGAAGGGACCATCCCCGTGCGCTCTACTACCACTATCCAGACATGGGATGGTGTATTGCAAGGAGAAAGGCTACTTACCATGTCCTGCAGTGACAAGATAGCGAGGTGAGATACCGAATTATTCCTTTCTTTGGTATTACTTTCTATTGCTAAACAAGAAAGGAGGGTTGCATGATAGCTGCAGTGAACGTGCATGTTATTGATTGGCTTATTTCATTGCTTAGATGTAGCGTGGGGGTGGCTGTAGCTCCAGTGATAAAGCTCTGATCCTTCACCTGCAAGTGGTATCAGACCTTCTGCTGGCTTCAGGGGCAAGGTGAAACCATTATCTATCATTCCCGCCACGACAGCTTTGTTTTATATTTATATCACTGGGAAATAGCAGAGGAATGCTTCCCCCCCCCTCGCCCCCTCCTCCAAAGTAGTATAGCATTAGCAAACCAGCACAATAAAGATATTATATTAGTTATAGCTGGATAACTTCCTCTGATGATATACATCCTTGCCCCCTCCCTGGAAGGGTTGAAAGTCGGGTTGAATGGGGCTTTGAGCAACCTGGTCTAGTGGAAGGTGTCCCTGCCCATGGCAACAGGGTTGGAACTAGGTGATCTTTAAGGTACTTTCCAACCCAAAAAGGTCTATGATGTCAGATACATACATTTTCCATGGATAGATTTAGATTTGTATTATTTTATACAGGGGAAAAAGTGTTCCAGTTTAAAAATTCGTAATTGATGGGCACTTTTAATTTTTTAACTTTAAAATTATTTTAGTTTTAGTTTAAATATTTTTACTGTAATTAAAAATTTTGTTTTGATACAAGTGTTTTTATTTGTATCTTATGCAATTATTTCTTTGTTGCTCTTTTTAACAAAAAGATTTTTTTTTGTTCAAAATCATAAATGGACAAATGATTATCCTCCAAAAAAATTTAACAGCAGTGTATCCTTTAACAAGTATCAGAAGTATGGGAGAGTTGCAACATAATTTTTTTAAATGAGTCTGTGTGTTTGCAGCCTCTGTGTTCTTGCAAAATAGAGGAGAAAGTTTTTCGGCTCATGATACTCCAGTTATTTTTAAAATTAAAATAGCTCTGCTGTTTTGTCAAGTCACAGTTAACCTGATTCAAAATTTATGACGTGTATTAGGTTGGAACTATTCTTGTGAACTGCTTATGCTGAATCAAAAATACACGAGGAAGGTTACGTAATCACTTTGTTCCTCTAGTCTCAAGTAATCAGCATCTCTACTGAAGGAAGATGTTTTACTTCAGTTTAAATCTCCCTAACATAAATAGGTAGGGTCTTTCAGAAGTTAGGACAGTGGGTTGCTGAAAGGTAATTGTACAAAAATGACATTTTAGTTTCTTTTATATTTTCAATAAAATTCACCAAATAAATTCCCCAGCTTCATGCCAGGGACTTCTCCCAACCACCTGACATGGTAATTATGCCACATTCATTTGACTTCTTTTATCACATCGTTGTTGCTGTTAGTGCAAATAAAAAAAAAATTAAGACAGTTGTTGAGCTAGAACACATTTGACTATTTTGTTGATTTTGTGTGATGCAGAACAGAATCCATCTCTCGCTTGCGTAGCTAGCTGTCACCTCTCCTTGGGGCTAATGGGAATAATTTTGTTTGTGCCAGTGAAGGAAGCAAATAGAACCCCTTGACACAGAACAAAGACTGTATGACGGGTAAGGAGGCCCAAATTTTCATATTCTTTTTTTCTTTTTTTTTTTTTTTTCCACATTTCCCTGACACTTATGACCATGTTTTGTCCATTTACATTTGATAGAATGCATTTCTCTGTAGTGTCTAGCAGTCAGTCCTCCAGTATGCCTCAGCCCTGTGAATTTCCACTGAGTTTTCCCGAAGGTTCCCAGTCCCAGCCTGGAAAAGACATGGATAAATTCAGGGTACAGGATGGCACAAGCAAGAAAACTGCTTGTATCTGAACAGCCTCATCTGTGTGGATTATTTATATAATCCAAGCTGTTATTTTCAGGCTCAGTGCTTTGTTGCAGTGTTCTGTCTAACACCCTTCTGAGCCTGGTAGGAACATTCAAGAAAAACTCTGGGAAGCCTGAGAAGGCCATGAGTGTAATACCATTTGGGTCAGAAGAATTAGAACAGGATTATCCTAGTGTGTTAGTGTCTGGTGGCACTGCAGTATGGTGTTAGGGTGGTTTCTGTGACCAGAATAACTGGTTTGGGTCATTAATATACATGCATTTGTTTTAAATGTATTCTAACCTTGTTCCATGGTACTTTATGAAGTCTATCTTTGTCATTCTCCTTTTGATGCATTTTTGCACCCACATTGAAGTTTTTTGGCTTCAAATAATAACTACTCATTAAATGTTCCAGTTGTGGCTAGTGTCTTGCTGAGAAGAGCAAATTTTTTTTCACCCCACTTCATTGGTAGGAAGGCTGTAGGAATTGAGAAGAGCTTTAACATTAGGTCGAGTTGTTAAAGGGGAAATAATCGGTGCTCTTCTCTAAAGACGGGAGAATATTATTTCTTATCATCTTTTGTGTGAAAGAACATGGTGTGCCCATGCACTGGCCTTGTTTTGTGCTTATTCAGAGTGGGAAATCCAAATGCAAGTTTGTAACACAATCTTTATCTCCCCAATGGCTTTGTCATCTTGACCCTACCACTTAGTTTTTTGAGACTTGTTGCACACAAACACATCTTGAAATCCTACACATGCTCACTCATGCATGTTCTGCAGCTATGTCCATGCTCATCCATCTGTCTTTGAGAGTTATTTCTAAGTGGCAAGCTCCATGACAGAGCCAGTGTGATTTCTGAACAGCAATAGAAAGAGCAGTTCTTAACCCAAATGGCAGTGGCTGATGTGAATGTATTCACTTTGATACATGGTGGCTGTGTGACACCTAGGTAAAAAAATGGGGGGAAAGTGGTAGGAAGCTACTATCCAAGGTGTAGCATCTAAATAGCCAGATGTAGCATCATGTAACCTCTCAAACCAGTGGCCTTGAGTCTTGACCCAAGCTCACTGATATGCAGCAAATCCAGGCAACTCCAGAAAAGCTGTGACAAGTCTGAGCTGTGTGGTTGCCAACCTAGGTACAGCTTACAAGGGAAAACAGATTCTCTTGTCAGTAACTGCACATATGATCTCATGTTAAATAAAAAGATGTTTGCAAGAAGTGCTACTGTCAGAGACCATGGACTGCTTGCACTTAATGATTTATAGTGTGGGCCACTGACTGACCACTTGATGTAAAAGAAGCTCTGACTCCACGTAACAATGTTGCTGCTTCTCTATGCTGTGGCTCCTGAAAGACAGGGACTGATCATAGAGATTCAGTTAATCTCTTAAGGAAACAAAGAGAAATCAGTTTTAAAATAAGAAAAGAAACCAGACTGGAGTTAGCTGAATGAAGTCAGATCTGCCAGTTTGTTCTGCCAGGTGATCAGACTGAAGCCCAGCTAGATGGATGTCCACAGCCAGCAGATCATGACCTACCCAGTGTGGGTCTGAGCTGAAGCTGAGCATGTGTCCCTGCACGTGAATGATGAACCACAGCAAACGTGGTTGCAAAACCAGACAAATGCTTGTCACCAAGCTGCAGAGGTGGAGGCCGCCACAGGGCTCTGTGAGCATCCCTGGGGATGCTGCCAGCATCAAACTTGTCAGGCTGATCACAGCAGTCTTGGAAACCAGAAACATGCAGGAAAACCCACAAGCATGGCTACTGCAAACATGAGCACCTTCTGTTTAGAGCTAGCAGGAGCCCCTGGGTCTGCAGCTTCCAACATCTTCGTTTTAAGAAGCAAATTGCCCCACACCTTGGATGCACAGTGGTCACAAGGAGCTTATGGTTCATGTTGCAATTTGAAAGACCTTGAAATCTTGGTGTCATGGTAAGCCAAGCCTGCCTTTGGGATTACTTCCTGAGACAGCTGCTGTCTGAGCTGTGTGCCTCTGTCATACAAGAGATGCATATAAGGAGGTAAAATGCTTTTTGGAGGTAGTCTGACATGTTCTCACACATTGACACCTCTCCCTTGCCATCAGTTGCAAGTAAAAGCTTGTCATAAACAGAAGGCCTACTAAATAATTTTCCTTTCTTCATAGTCATTGCTGTTTATAAATTATATTAATAAGAGCAGCTCTTTGAATTATAAACACTTGTTTTTGTCAGGTTTTGCAGTCTGCCTCATTTTGGTAATTGCAGGAGACTTCATTCTCAGGAGATGAATTCTGACACCAGTTCCATGTGCACGCCATTGTAAATGCAACGCACAGTGACTCACCTCCTCCATACTGCTGTCTGCATAAAAATTATTGAAAGTGATGCTAAGACATTTGATATCAACATCAAACTTTATTGATTACTGCTATTAGACTCCCCTCATTTCTGCGTTTTCTCTAAAATAGTGCAAATAACAATTTCTATGCAGTTTGAGTTTCAAAAGTTCAGAGGAGAGTTTTTACCCAAAGCGTGTATTTTCAGCCTGGGTTTTTTTTTTTGCAAGAGGTGCACTAGCACACTCTGTGAAAGTGTTGCTTCAGAGCCAAATTTTACTTACCTTTTCATGTATTGAGAGTTGTGAAATCAGCTGTATGTCATGAAGAAAGCAATAGATCTTTCAGGAAACCACTGCAGATACACTGAGCTGCCTCTGAGCACATGGTAGTCTAAAGAGCAGAAATATAACAACATGGCAAGGAAGAGAGGACTCCTCTTGTTTTGGTGTTGGTCTCTGGTTTCTCTGCCCTCTTTTTTTAATGTAGCGTGACTGAGAACAGCAGAAACGTTGAGAAAGTGCATCCATCCTCCAGGTTGTTACCAATAAAATCTAAGTGGGGAATACAGAATAAGGAGACCACTGAGTATGATAAATTTGTAAAATTCAGATTTCCCCAGTGCAGTGCTCATCTATAAAACCTCAAGTGAACACACTACACACAGTATTTTCTGTGTAAATAGTCAGGAGCTGAACATAATTCATGTGCACAGATCTGCAAAGGCCACTGTTGGGGTCTAGTCTGTAAAGGTGGTGAGATGTAGTGCTTTGAAAGAGCATTTCCCTGGATGCTAGAGCACAAGATTACATCACAGAT